TTTCACAAGTATTCAAGGTATATGAATTTGAGTTTCCGCCCATAGGAAACGAAAGAGACCCAAATGAGATTCAAACTTGGCTTACAATTGTACCAGATCCATTTCTATTGAGGGACTCAGGTCGTCCAAAATCTACTAGAATACATTGTGATATGGATATTCGGGAGAAGTCAACAGAACAAAAACGATGTGGGCATTGTAGAAAGATCGGGCACAATAGAAAAAAAATGTCCAGCTCTGTTATCATCATATAACCGTTAACTCTTATGTAATTAATATTGTATTTAAATGAATGTTTTTGTTTCTAATAATTTAATGTTATTGCATTTATATAATTTTTCAATGTATGTACACCTAAATAATATTTTTTAACTTTTAAATACATAAATATTTTAAATATATTTATTTAATATAATAATTAATATTATTAGTTATAATTTTTTTTAAAATATAATAATAATTCCACCTTCTAAGTAGAGAAAAAATATTAAATTAAACAAATTAAAAGTTATTAAAAAATTTATGTATACGATGACACATTTCATGTTCTGATTGGAGGATTAAATTTATTAAATTAAATTTTCAATGAGACTAATTTCATAAAATATGTAAGTCTTGAAGATTAAATATGTAATTATACTAATTTATTAACTTATGCATCAATATTTTCGTTAAATATTGATAAGAGATGACTAGATTGATAACATTTAAATAATTAACTGATAAAATTAATAGATCGATAATCAAAATCAAAAATAATAATATAACCATATGTGTAATATTATAATTTCATACATTTTTCCTATAACTACAATAAAGTCAAAACTGGTTTTCATATATTGTTATATTATATTAATGTAGATAATTCACTCCACCTTTAACACACATTAACAAAATACATTTGATAATTCTTACATTATAATCGAAACACTTTACATAATATATTATTAATTTATAATAATAATAAAAATAAAATATTTATTATTAAACAAAATACGTGGCAGTCGAGCTGGCAAAAGGCGCGTCCCCGGGGATGCGCCTTCCACACGTGGCATCCAACTCAGCGAAAACACGGGTAAAGCGCGTCCCCCGGGGACGCTCCTTTCGCTAGCTCAGCAGAAAGGGTGCTACTTCGGGAAATATTGGTCAAACGGTGTCAGAAAGGGGATATTAGAGAAAATTGGTGTCAGTTATGTCAAATAGCTGAATTTTGTTCTTACCCAGAATTTGGGTGAGCAGCAGATTCTCATAGTTATCTCCCTCTCTGAAAACCTATTTCTCTTTTGGCTTCGCATTCTTTCGTCTTCATCTTGATCTAAATATTTTTCAGATATGAAGAATAAATTGATCCAAGATCTTTTTTAATTATCGAATTGTAAGTTCCTATTCTTTCATTTATTTTCTTTTTTATTTGATTGTTTGATTTTATATGGTTAGTGTTGTTATATGGTTTTGCATGCAATGTGAAATGGAGATCGATTATTTCTTTCTTGGAAAAAAAAAAGATGTTTTCGTGGAGGATATGAATAATATCTTCTTATAATGTTATTTGTTTCACTATATTTGTGGATCTTTATGTATCTTGATTGAATTTGGTTGCTTATTTTGCTTGTTCAAGTTTTGACATATTTTTCGCCGTCTTCGTTTAGGATCTGAACAGAGTTTGACAGTTGATTGATTTATAATTTTTTAATTTTCAAATTATAAGTACCGATTCTTCCATTTGATTTCTTTTTTAATCGATTATTCTATTTATAATTATCGTTTTCATTGTTATATGGTTTTGCATGCGACGTGAAATGATTTCTCATTGTTTATGTAATTGTCATGTAGGTGACTGAATCATCTAATAGAGTCTGATGGTGGAAAAAGAAGTCATATAGTAGTAAATATTTGTTCTACGAAGCTCCCATTGGTTACAGCATTGAAGACGTCCGACCATACGTGTTTACTTTGCATCTGCAGAATCAGTTCCTACCAATAGCCCACTTTAGCTTAGATGTGTTTGACTAGCTTCAAAAGGTAAAAGGGCATTGATTTTCTACAAAGAATGAACCTATGCAGCTAAGATGACCATTAATTTCGGCATTAGGGATATCCTTCCATGGTATAAGATATGCGATTTTGAGTTTGACCCTTGTGGTTATTCAATGAATGGGATCGCAGAGGCTGTTATTTCCACAATACACATTACACCTGTGACGCCAGACAGAATAGTGATTATCCTGTAGGCTAGCTCCGACAGACGATTCACAAGAGAAAATTCGCCTAAAAACCAGAGAAAAAAGTCTCTAGGGTTTAATAAAATATTATAAAATCAAACAATGCCAAAAAGCAGTCCACAAGCCGGACTGTTATAGCCAAAAATCGTCTTTATTTGAATTTTTCCAAAAATAGCAAAATCTCGAAAATCACTCTAAATTGAAATTCGAAATAAAATAAGCAATCTCCCAAAAATCCGACCTAAATCGGATTTAAATTGACTTCCTAATTAACAATCGAAATATTACCATAAATAGTAAAATATAACTAAATCTAGTGATCCGGAGGGGAAAACGGCAGAATTTGAGGTTGAAAAAAAGGTCACATGGAGCATAGCTCGATGTGGAGAGCATGCGCGTCGAAAAGAGCTTTCCGGATTAGGGTCTTATGCGCGATTCTGACACCTGTAGCCAAAGTTATGGCCAAAAGACTGAAACATACTCAAAACGACACCAATGAGGAACATGTCACAATCAATTCCCGCCTTTGCGCTGATCTGCCAACTCATGGTATTTCAGCGCCATCAACGTGCAATCTGACAGTTCAACATCATCTGTCTCGGATCCCCCTGCATCAACCTGAAGATTATTTTAGCTTTGCGAGGTTGGAGTCAGTCGGATATGACCTGGTCGAACCAAATCTGAAGAAGTTGATCGAAAGACTATTGGCTTGTTTCAATCCGAGGGACTTCATTGTGGCCCTTCATGTTGATGCGGGTCAGTCACTTGATCCGAACTCTCTAACTGATTGTTAAAAGGTATCGTTGCGGGGAGACGATGATTGAAGAACTTGGATTTGGAGGATCCATAATGTATCGATGTCCTTCCCCTTTCTAAGGGAGTCAAACACATCTCCAAAGTATAAAGTGGGCTATTGGTGGGAACTGATTTTGCAGATGCAGAGTAAACATGTAATTTATGTTTATCCAACACACTCATTACACAAGCTTTACTACCACCACCAAGCTTTTGAACGTATTCATTGAGAATAACAACATAATATTCCTCTGCAGTTGAGATGACCATTAACTTCGACATTAGGGATATCCTTCCAGCGTTTGAGATAAGCGATTTTGAGTTTGACCCTTGTGGTTATTTAATGAATGGGTTTGCATGAGCTGTTATTTTCATAATACACATTACACTCGAAGATTTTTTTAGCTTCCCGAGTTTTGAGTTAGTCAGATATCACTTGGTAAAATTGAATCTGAAGAAATTGGTCGAAAGAGTATTGGATTGTTTCAATCCGAGGGGCTTCACTGTGGCCCTTCATGTTGATACGGGTCAATCATTTGATCTCAACCGGGTGACTGATGTTAAATGGTATTGCAGCGGGGAAACAATAATGGAAGAACTTGGATTTGGAAGATCCATAATGTATCAGATGTTTAGCAGTAGTGGGGATTGTGGATCCCCTAGATCAACTCTTTCTTGTTAAAAATGAGTTGTTAAAAGGAAGAGGAATATTATGTTGCCGGTTTTATTAAAAATGTCGTACATAAGAAATAAAACCTGAGGTATTTTTTTCAAAAGTCTTCTTGCTCATTTTGTGTCTATATGTCCCTCAAATAATACGTTGACATCTCATTAAATATAGTTCAAACGTTATAAATTTGCCGTTAATGTACCGACTTTAAAATGGATTCTTTCCTAAATGAAACCCCATCACTAAATTCCCCATTACAATGATATTAAAAAGGCATTTAATGAATCCACTCGTTACGTGCAAGGGGCAAGATAGTAAATAATATAAAAGCCTTGGCTTGATGCCCGAAACAAAATCACCATGACTTGTAAGCCAATTTATCTGAAAGACCTCATTAGTCATATCTCTCTTCAGTGAAATTACATCAAATTTTTCTACATCAAAATTTTTTTATATCTTGTATCACGAAGGAAGAGAAGAAGAAGAACCATGTGGTCATTATCATCTTCATAACAAGTTTGTTAAGCTCAAAAATCCAATTCATCTGACTACATACAATTTGAATACTTTTAGCTACACTAATCTCTTCCCGTCAACTTCACTACTTCAAAAATTAATCTTTTGTGATGGGTTAGAATGTGATTATAATTATAATATGTAATTAATTATTAAATAGTTTATACATACATATATATTGTTATATGCTTAGAATTTTAGATTTTGTTTGAAGCTTTCATGGCATCGTTATAATTGAAATCTGCATAATACTTGTAGACACTCGTTTTTGATCGGGTTTTAATTTTTTTTATCATATAATTATTTACTTATTTATTTAATTTATTTATTATCATTATTGTTAGTAATATTTTTTTTAATTTTGTAGGCCCCATGTACAACCCTACTACCCCACCATTATCTCAACCAATAAACAATCCACTAAACCACCATCCAATTAGTTACCAACTCCACCCCACGTCTCAATTAAAACCACGCATGTTTCCTTCTTTTTCTCTCAAAATGAAGGTGGGAATCTTTATCAGGACCTGCCTATTTATTTAAAGGGATTTTAGATTGGAAAAGGGGGGGTCAGGTGAATAGGGACTTTTCTTCTCTCTTTGATTGTAGAGCCTCTCTGCTTTTAATATTTTAAACAGAGTTATATATCCAAAAGGGGGTTCGGTTTTTCACAGAAAAAGGGGAGTGAGATCACTGCTATGGAAGCCGAAACCGAGGAAGGGAAATCAATATTCGAGAGATGGAGTTGCCAATAGTCTCTACAATGTTGACGGGGTGACAAAGCACAGCCTGCTTCCATGGCACATTTGCGGCAACCGAGCACTGCTATACATGTCGATAGGGCGGCGCTCAACGATGTCTTGATAGCGCTAGGGTGCTCCTCCCTCGAGCAGGAACTCAAACGCGTCATGGAGGAAATCGACATCGACAAAGATGGCTTCATCAACCTCTCCGAATTCCTCATCCTCTGCCGATTGAGATTTGACAATTCCAACGCCGAGAACAAGAAGCTAACCGAGGTGCTAACGGTTGTCTGCGAGCACTACACGATTTTACAAAAACAATACAAGGAACTGGTGAGTAAGAACATTGAAACTGAATCTTCAAAGAAGAAGAAAGCCGAGTGTGAAGATTACGGTACCACCATGATTGGTTTCACTGCCAATGCCGAGAGCAGCGGTAGTGATGAAAACTCATTCAAGAAAACCAAGAGCAGCATATCCGAAAGACCATGAAAGACCCAATAGCGTATTTGAGGAGATTGGAGATAACGAATTCGAACGGTGAGAGCAGAGAAGAGATCATCAGGAGTAACATATCTCAAAATTAAAACGATCTAACGGTGGATGTTGGCGGATCGGAGAAAAGATAGCCAAACGATTTTTCGCCGTTTCATGTCGATCGGATCATACCCAGGCGATTTGGACTTCAGATCCGGGCTTCTCTCATCAAGGCGAAGCTGCTCGTGTATTATGTCCATCGACAGCGACGAAGACTGACCGGCGACGATCACAGGCAACATGTGGTATAACGGGTATGGTCTGTAGAGTGAAATGAAAAATGGCTTTTGTTCTTGACTTGTTTGTTTAAAACAGAAACAATTTACTTACAACTCAATGTGTTTATGCTTATGTTTTGTGTACTGTTGCATACTACGAATAACCACTTTCTTGCATGCCTTACAAACAGTAATGAACTGTTATTTTCTCCACTGAGACTAGAAAGGGGTAATACTTTACTTCAATACTGTCAAAACCCTGTTCTAGTATTTACCATGGATATTCAATATATATAAGTATACTTGTATGCTTGAATCAAAGAAAGCCCACGTGAAGTTGGACTTTGGGGCAAATTTCGTCTATAGTCACTTCAAATATTATGGTATAATTCTTCTCATGGTCACTCTATCTTTGATGCATTTCTTTGTAATCTAATTTTGATGTTTAAATTTGATTATTGCCAATCTAACCCCTAATTTATTTTTATGATTTGATTTAATATTTTTATTTAATTATTATTCTATTTTCACTAACATTTTTGACTTTGTAGAAAAATTCCAACTGACCAAAGGTAAATAATACGAATCAAATGTTTTAAAATTTAAATTTTAATTTTAATTTTAATTAAAGACAACCGAAAAATTAATTGGTACCGAAAGGGCGGTTCAAGGGTGCTAATCCTTCATTGACCGTAACCGACTCCCGAACTCGACACGTTTCTGGTACAGCGCAGATCATGTAAGATGGTACCCGACCCACCTAAATTCGTTTTAAAGTGGTCGGTGGCGACTCCTAACCCAATCAATTCCAGTCGAAGCCCAATTCCGGGGCCAAACCGAAAGACGGTTGCGACAGCTTGGCGACTCCGCTGGGGACAGGTAAGTGAGTCAGGCCAGAATTAATTTTCGGTTGTCTTTTTATGCGAAAATTGTAAATTTAAATTTTAATTTATTTATTCGATTCCAATTATTTGCCCTTTGATTATTTTTCCAAGTAAATAGTTGTACTAACATTTTTTCAATTATCTCAGATTTTCGAAAAGTTTCATCTCAGGCTCTATACCCGAGCTCCGAACCCTTTTAAGTGGGGGTGAAAGCGACGCATTCGTGTGAATTTATTCACCGCATATGCCTAGCAAGTAGCCTTCGGGATTCATATACCTTATGTCTTCGTGTGAATTTATTCACCGTGCGGGCATAAGGGAATGTGTCCCCTCGAGTTTAACTTAGTCCACACAAGCCTGTGATGGGTTTGGGACTAAGGGTCTGGTAAGCCCAAGGGGGCACCGGCAAGGAGAACTCGAGTACCTTTTTAGAACCTAAACCGGGAGAGTACAGGGAATTAGAGCCCACCCCGAAACCTCATTCCAAACCGTAGGCTGTTTTATTTCCTGCTTTATTTCCTGTTCAAAGCATGCGAACTAGACAAACATGCGGCTAGGATTTGTTTGAAATTAGCATGCGGGATAGAAATCATGTCTGTGTAGGAATATTAAGCATGTTCGGGTAGATTATCATGTGGGGTAAGACTTTTCATTTTCATCATTTTTATTATTATCATCATTATCTCACTAACTCTTTTTTCTCTTCCTCCTTTCATTTTTATTCTTTGGCATTTTTTTTTATGATTCGCATCATTAAAACGAGGTATTGATCCACAAAAAATGTGTTTGTTAAACATGAATAATTTGTATTAATGGACAAAGGGGTTATAATACAAAGAGATAAAAAGCTCAGAAGTCCAGCCGTGGTCAAATAATACTCGGAGGCAAAGGTTGCAGGGGCAAGACGAGGAAAATGTTGATGGCCCATAAACTCCTTTTGAAAACTACGATAACAAGTGGCGGAACCCCAGCTAAGCTGCAGACCATTAATTGATGAATTCCAAAAACAAGTCGACAAACTTCGGATGGAAGGCTCCAAAGACACTTTCGTTTGGAACGAGCTCGGCATAGAGTGAAGGCCGGAGATGCAGTCATTCGAGATCTTTTTTGGGGCAAGCAACTCGTCACCCGCACAGGTTTAGCCAAAGGAGCTGGAACGGTTCGACAGGATATTCAACCAGTGAAGAAACGAAAGATGAATCAACTTGCCAGAGGCTGTGCGGGATCTATACCATCAAAAAGTTTTTTGTCTCTTCAGACGTAACATTTTTGTCCCCAATAAGGATTATTTAGAATAATAGGCACATTTTTCGGATCAATGCCTCAGACATTTCATGCTTCATGCATTTAAACATTTTGCATTTTGTTCATTTCTTTACATTCACATTAACTATCTTCACATGATTCATCAAAAAATGAGAACACTTCGACCCTATGACATATAAGGAGCTTTACCAACATTTGTTCGACGCACATGTGGTGTCACCATATCCAGAGAAATCCATGAAGCCCCGTACCCCAGGTAGTATGATGAGAACGCTCATTGCGAAAATCATAGCGGAGTCCCAGGGTGCACTATCGAGAATTACTCCACCATCAAGAGAATCATACAGAAAATACGTAACAAGAATCGGATCGACTTCAACAACTTGGGGGCATCCAAGTGAGGCATATCATTTCGTCATTTGAGCCATTCTGTTTGGATTTGTTTTTTTCATTCTTTTCTCAAGTTTTTACAAGGACTTTTAAATAAATTTATGTTGCTTTAATAATGGCGAGCAATAAATCACATTTGCAAACTTGCAATTCTTTGAATATCATTTGAATTAAGAAACTCTGTTAATGGTTCAAAGTTACGGATCTTTGACGAAGTAACATGATTTAAAACAAGGAATTTGACTTTACCCAGAATATACACTCAAACACCATACCCTGCTCTTGTAATTAACCAATATAACATTTTCCTTTCATAAGGTGCGGACAACATGGGGCATCCTTTTGCATATGACATTATTATACTTTTTATTTAAGATGTTCAATGACGATGATGATCTTTACAAATGAAAGAGTCGAGTAGGTGAATCCAGTTTAGGTCAGTTGCTTGAAAATTGAACTCTAAAGATGAGATTCATTGACTTTCAAAAACACCTAGGCTATAATAGGTTCTTCTTGACAATCTTAAGAAATTAAATCCGTAAAAACTGAGCTATTCCGCTAAGGCAATTGGTTATAGAGGAAACTCGACAGCCCTGGCTTTATGAATAGATTGCGTTCAAACCATGACATTGCTCGGACACTTGGCAATTCGGTGTTTGCTCCACTGCTCTTGTCAGGCTGAAGACTCTGTGATGAGATGAATCCTTCAGTGAACTTGATAAAACTGATTATAATGTTAAGTGGTCCCTCTAAAGCAATTGGTTAAACACCCCGGCTTTATGGATCCAGCTTGCCAGATAACGACAAATTAAATCAAATTTATCTGAGCAAGAATTTTTCGATAATGTTGGACTAAGGGAGTTAAGGAACACCTGTTATAGTCAACTACACACGAGCACTCAAGAATTTCATTTTTAGACCGATATTTTTTGCGCTACATTTGTTGGAGGAGCCTACAAAGCTTGAACAAATGGAAGATTTCAGAGGACCGAAATAAAATGTCTAGTAATTGGTCATTCTAGTTGCGTCATTATGTCCGCACCCAAATGAAATGCCAAAGCATATTTCGATATTTAAAAAAAATGACATTTTGGGTTACCAAAACCTTAGAAAGGAGGCCAAGCTAAAGCCAACCCATCCATTTGACACTGGTCAAAGAGCTGTAACTCTGAAAACGTTAAAAGAGCTATTGATTCCTTTGATATTCTTTAAACTCACGTTTATAATTTGATTCAATTGCGAATAATATTTTACAACATTTTTATCGTTTTCTCTCCTGAAACAAGAAAAATGAGAAAAATATTTTCAAACAGAACAACCTCAGATATGAAATGTCTGTAAAGCCCAAGCTCGAGAAGCAAATGGGGCACGATCGATTCCATGGACCAGATTGGCAGACAAAGCACGAAGAGATAACACATAATTCATTCATGTTGCATGCATCTTAGACATAATTAGGTCCATCACATTCCTCATTTTAGCATACATGATTTTTTGCAGCTTTTAGAGTCAAGGATACTTGATTCGTAAGCGCCTTTAAAGAACGATGGTGGTTGCTTAGATCGGCAGCAAGAAGCTACACTTCGACCAACTCGACAGATTGAAAATTTTCTCTCGAACTCACAATTTGCTCGAGAGTAAATTTCAACTTCTCAACGAAGGATCTTGAATCCAAGACAACACAAGTTCAACTTCACGACGAAGGGACCGCTGGTTGTCAATAAACAATTTCTCGATTTCAGAGTCAATTTCAACTTCACAACGAAGGATATTGGACTCCAGACAACGCAAGTTCAACTTCACGACGAAGGGACCGCTGGTTGTCAACAAACATTTCCCAATTTCAGAGCCAATTTCAACTTCACAACGAAGGATATTGGACTCAAGACAGTACAAGTTCAACTTCACGACGAAGGGACCGCTGACTGTCAACAAACAACTTCTCAAATTCAGAGCCAATTTCAACTTCACAACGAAGGATATTGGACTCCAGGCAACGCAAGTTCAACTTCACAACAAAGGGACCGCTGGTTGTCAATAAACAATTTCCCAATTTCAACTTCACAGCGAAGGATATTGAACTCAAGACAACACAAGTTCAACTTCACGACGAAGGGACCGTTGGTTGTCAATAAACAATTTCCCAATTTCAGAGCCAATTTCAACTTCACAACGAAGGATATTGGACTCCAGACAA